AGTATGTAGGGAGAATGCTGGGTCCCTTGCACCAACTGTTCCATTCTGAAGATGGGCTCCTATTGCAACACCCTGCCTGTCCTATTTATGTACTTCCTTCAACGCCAAGGACTGCTCCAGTACTGAATGTTCAGTTCATTAATATACTTTTGGCTTTATCCAGCATGACAAACTATTCTGAGTTGTTGCAGTTCTGTCATTGTCCACATGAGTTATGTCGTTTTTAAGATCACTATGATCACAAAGCAAACCACTTCAAGCAACTTAATGGAAACTGCAATCAGCACAGACCAGCCACCAGACTGTCACCACAGTTAAATAAGTCCCTCAAGAAACTCTGGAGATGAAAAGGGCCTATCTGCCAATATCATGTTTTCAGTTTGCTAATGACACTTTGTTCTCTCCTTCATTTCAATAAGAAAGGAGTCTACATGGATTTGTTTTATTTATCTGAAAGGCTGAAATCTCAACAGCTCTGAAAAATATTCACTACTTAATTCTGACAATTAAATACACCAAAAAAGTGCTCAAAACAAAATCAAAACCATATTGCTTCCTTCAGCAGAGTACAAATTGAGTATATCCAGGCTACTGTGAAAGTTAGCAATATGCATAAACCCCATAAACAAATTAAAAAGCAATCCTAAATCTTTTCTGTCTAAATACTCAAAATTCTGAGGTGAAAAATGAGGTTTTTTTGCCTTCTGATACAACACGAAAGGTAACTGCACTCCTTAATCATGCAACCCAGCCTAGCAGCAGGCTGACTTGCAGGAGTGCTGCTGAAATCTGGCAGAGGATGTCTGTGGCACTGCTTCACAACACCTATTCTTCTCTTTGCTATTTCCATTGTTTCCACTTCCATGTGCTAGGTTGTCCAGAGGTCACTAATTTCCTCATTACAATCTTCTGAGCAACTGTCACCCAGTAAGAAAAATAAAGCAATCTAAATTTCTAAAAATAAACTATCTTGTCTAAAGGTAAAACTGCAGATCACAGTGTTTTTACTTCTCTGGTACCACGGGACCACCATGGACTGCACTCAACCGAGCTGCTTGGGAAGTGCTAGCCAGGGATTCTTCCTCCTCCTATGAAGCTCTTTTGGGCCAAGTTACTTCTCTCTTTATCGCCTTTAGATACCACTTCTCTAGGAATAAGCTGAGGCGGGATGAAGGCAGTGTCAGTGAGAGAGAAGTATTAGAGATGCAGAAAACTTGCAACAATGGCCATAAATAAATGTCATGGGAAAACCTGGAAAAGATACCTGACCATTGGACACCAACAGTGAGACAACCTGGTAAGAAAATTGCCCTCCAGCTTAGAAAATGAGGGCTGATACATTCAAGAGAGGAGGACGTGATGCAGTTGCTTATGACACTGCTGTGACAATGTTTCTTAATCATGCAACCCAGCTTAGGCTAGGCTAGATATAAACAAAGCCACAAGGTCCATTTTTTTAAAATTATCATGTTCTCTTACTAAAACTACTCAACTGTATCTCAGAGATCAACCGTGTTAATTGAAAAGAGTGGCATGGTTCCTGTCCTAGATACTTGCAAAGTGCTAGATGATTCTATGGGCAGTTACATCCTCGAAATATGACTAAAGCTGAAAACATGTTTGCTCTGTAACTAAACGTTGCATGCTATCCACTGAAGCCAGTTTAAGAAGATCTCTCACTTCCTGCATTCTGTGAAATAGGACATTATATGCATTGCTTTTCAAAAGTGAAAAATAAATTAAAAATACATTCACTTGTCTTTCTGTGCAAATTCTAAAGTTTATGAATCCCTCTAATGGCCTTATAAATACACTTATATTATGCATGGCTATTCAAAACGAGACTATCTCTGTCCCTTTTCCCATTAGAAATAAACTCTTCTTTAAATTACATCAGCCAAACACTCATCTTATTCATTGCAAGCAGAAAAAGTTCTTAAATCTAGTTTGACATCTTAGTTATTGCTTTTAACTTAAGCCATAAAAAAATCTATAGGTGTTACAAAAATTCTAATACAAAGAACTCTGTTTTTAATATGAGTTACAGAACAATGTAAGAAATAACCCCAACGCTTTATCTAAATAAATTTCATCGTTTCACAGTGAACTCTAACTCACAATATATTTTCATTTGTGGTTTCTGGATAGCAGAAGATATTGAATTAGGCATCAAACCCCCACATCGCTCTTTCAGAATTTGGTGGGTATGTGCTGGACCGAATGTCTAGGAATAATCATGCCGTTCCCTTTGGCGTAATCTTAAAAAGATCCTGAAAGCGTTGGGGGAAATTTATCCGAGAAAATACGAAGCAGGCTCAGAATGCCCAAACCGTGCAGGCTTAGGCATAACGAAAGACTGCCGCTTGTGCAGACACTTAAATTAGCTTTAATTTAGATAAGTAAGGGATCAATAGCAATAAAGGCAACATCAGGACGGCTTTCAAAACAGGCTCGTTACTCCGGTGAAGAACCTGGCATCTCAATGGGGCCCAAACAGTCTGCAGTTTCTGTGAGACTGCAACTCCCCTGCTGCTTTCTCAACAAGCTACGTTACAAGATCAAGCTTTGCCTGCATGTGCACTTTCACCTTTGGTACAGAAAACAGGACATGAACGCCATCCCTCAGAAAATACTGGAAATGGCATTCAACCATCAGCATGGTGAAATCCAGCATGTATTTAGTGATCACTTGGCCCTTTGAAATGTTGATAGTCTGGACAGACATGATGCTGGGACTGCTTAAGAGCTGCTACTACTAAAAAATACTAAGATAATAGGTGCTTTAAATCTAGCCATATGCAGCAGAGATCAGACCCTGTCATTGACAGTGCCACAGCCAGTGATGCTGCTGAGCAGGCAGTTCTGCTCCCCCAACTAATCTAGTCCCCCAACTCCCTAAGCTGGGAGAACTGGCTGCACAGCATGGTGGTCATCACCACTTCTGCTGCCTGGTGGGACCCCAGGATGCCTGTAACAACTTTTGCACCCGAGAAGGCTGTTGTCCTGATGCAGCTAAGGTGTGAGTTTAAACAGAGCCAGGCTGCTGCATCCTGCACGGACGCACCTGGGATCACTCCTGGCCCACTTCCCGCCATGACCAGCCAAGAGCAGGTAGCTCTGCACCCGCTGGGCTGTTCGGGCTGGCTCAGGAGGGACCCAGGCACGCTGCCACCACGGGCCGGCACACCCGCTCCTGCGGTGTGAGGCACAGGAGGCTGCCCGATGGACCTCACTCCAGATGTGCCAAGCCAGGGGATGGGGGACCTCCAGCCTTAGTGGGAGCAGCTCTGTGCTGGCCACCGAGGCACCGGGCTCTCCGCGGTGGGACGAGGGGCCATGCGCTCACAGTCCTGCCAGCAAGGGTGATGGGCACATTGCATTTGGGATATTCTCCCTTCAGTGGTTTCCAGAATAGGGGTACTAGCAACAGCAGGGTTTTACCACATGCGTCTATCCAGTAGGGCTCACCCTGTGTAAGAGTGTGTTTAAAAGGAAAACCTGACGTTATTAAACCTGTGGAAGCAGAAGACTAGAAGTAGCTTTGAAGTGGTTCAAAATGCCTTCCATGGTAAGATGAATTGACACCATATTATCAGACACTTTGTTCGCTCTTTTTGGCTGCCAACCTAATAGCTGAGCTATTACAGTATCATTGTTCTTATGTTATAGCCTCAAATGCACTCAAACCTAATTTAAAATCCACGTTTTGCTCTGAAGCTGAAACCACGTTAGGAGTGCATGTGAGGCCGACTGCATCCAAATCTGCACTTACAAAATTAAAGGCTGGATTTTCTTAGCAGAGGATACTTGGTCGTCAAATTTACTACCACCAGAGATCACACCCTCTTCAAATCTTCCCATATGACTTTTCAGTCTAATGAAAAAAAAGGCAGTTGCAATGAGCCAGGGTTGTATTTTTTTTTAACGTCACCACTTTTTGTGGTATGGAAAACAAAAGGAGATTTACGTTTCTTCCCTAGGAACAGCACACTTCCAGATGTATGAAAGAATAAGCAGATATTGCTTAGCATCTCGAAGCCTTGTCTACAGAGGCACTTTACATGCATACAGTTAATAAGAGATAAAAGTCCTGGCCCTAGAAAGCTTCCAGTCAAAACAGATGAAAGGATGGGGAAACAAGAAGTAATATTATCCTTTTATATATATATGAAAGCAAAGAACCGAAAAAATAGGTCATTTGCCCAAGACTGGAAGGAAAGCCTGTAAATATGAATTTAAACTTAATACTTCTCACGTCTCAGTCTGGTGTCACAAGGCCATTATTTCTCCCCAACCAGCATAATAAGGAAATATCATCAATAACAAAGCAAATTGCAGACCAGAAGGATCATAAATAAAATACCACATAGAAATGTAAATATGAACAATTCTGAGTTTTCGAAACTTTCTTTTCTGTCCAGTTTGAAAAATTTGCTGTGTCAAACAAGCTGGCAAACGTATGTCTCTTGTAACAAGAACTCACTGTGCAACAAAAACTTCTGCTTCATTTATCATTATCCAACCATAATATATTGATCCCTGTGCTGACCACAATCAAAATACTCTAATGGCTGGGATATGAGGTTGAAACACAAGAGGGGAACTCCCTCCTGGATATAAGAAAAAAGGACAAAAGGAATATTTTTGGGGAAGACTGCGGAAAAAAAGAACTGGATCTCTACCTGAGAGCTACCTGTAGATGTATTTTTTTGTTGCATATTCTATACTTCTCTTCTTCAGTATCAGAGAGAACTGACTGTACTGCAGTTGGAAAAAAAAAATAGCTATACTTTACATCCCTCCCCTTTCCCACAGTACCTGTATTCCTCTAGCATTTATATTTGATGAAGTCTTTTTAAAAGAGAAACTAATTCTTTAAAAAAAAAACAGCACTGTGGTGACAAAGACATAAATCTCTCAGACTGTCCCCAGAGCCTGTCTCTTTAGGATTATTATAGATCAGATTATTATAGAAAGGCATATTTAAATATTTTATTTACCTGAACAGCATCATAATACATTTTCTTGCCTTCTTCATCTGTCTTGTCTGACATCAGCCATGCCTTGAGCAAGTACTCATAAAAGCTATCACCAAGCCCTCCAATGGAGACATGATCTTAAAAGGGAAGAAAGAGATTGAACAGCAATTTCATCTTCAGCCTGAGCAATAAAACACAATTACAGTTTGAAACAGTGCATTTAATGATCTCTTCCTACAACAATCTTTAATAAATGTAAGCTGGGAACCTCAGGAAAAACTTGAGTGTATACAGAGAATTATTTCTTAAATTGCTAACTTTTTCATCAAACTAAAGTAGTATAGTTATTTGATATCCACAACATGTCAGAGGAGTTCATAGAAAAAAAAAAAAACCCAGAATTTATAGGTTTAACATCTAATTCATGTATAAAAATGATTATAATCTAAATTAATATTTTTTTTTATTTTCTTTTTTGTTCTAAAATCTGGTAAGAAAAGTAGAAAGTACTCTCTAATTTGATAAATGCCTCCCCCTCTTAACGTGCAGGCACTGGTTCTATTTGCTCTTTTATTCACTAATACTCCACGTAAGTCACTTCATAAAAAAAGGCCAAAATGTTTTAGCTCCTTCCTGCAAAGCTGAATTTCAGGTTATTTAATGGCAATTCAGAATGCCAACCCATATATTTAAAAATAATACTATGTTTTTGAACATCTGGCTGCTCTCAGAACTCAGCAGCAGTTCTGGAAGGAAAAAAAAAAAAAAAGACTTTGCCACATCTCCAGAGGATTATTGCTGTCACGCTGCTTTATTCTGCCCTGTGCTTGCTGTGTGGAATGATCTGGTACTATAGATGCTGGGGCTACTCAACTCCAGGGGTTTGGATGGGACCCTGCAAACACTAACACCACACAAGTTTGGCCGCTCTGTGTCAGCTGCAGCAGCGATGCCAATGTTGGCGATGCTCCCACCTGCCTGCAGGAGCCTGCACTCACCTGCTGTGCAGGAGCCTAAAAGGTTCTTGGCAAAACTGTAATGGGTTACCACGATCTCAGCACAGATCCCCTGAATACAAGAAATACTACAACTACACACACACATATATATATATA